TGTGAATACTAGAGCAATGAAACTGCGTTCCTCCCTCTTTTATCGCTATCAATTAAAACCTTCAAAGTGACATTTTGAATTATTCAACCACCCACTGTCATCTTGCCATCGTTGACCAAGTAGTCTCTACTCCATGTTGGAATTTGCAACGTAGTTCAAAGAATCAATATATCCTCCAGTGTCTCTTGCTCTGTAAGTTTCATGAAACAATGGGTAGTCGAAGCAGACCAGTCGCACTTCGTTTTCTTTTGTGTTTGCTGATCCTTGGTGTTCCTTCTTATTCCTTGAATAACTCCATAGAACAAGGCAAAAAACTCAGATATGGGGAGCTATTGCAGTCTTCTAATGCGATTTTCAAGTTTGGATTCTTTCTAGCTGACGGCAGAAAAAATGAGTCTTACTTGGGATTATGGTACCACTCCAACAACGAGCTGTGGGGCCAAGGTGAAGAAATTGTTCCGACGATGTGGGGTCCACTCTGGATTGCAAACCGAGACGCCCCAATCTTCAACCGTTCTGGAATACTTGTAATCGACAGCAATGGAAACCTGAAGATTTTATCCGGTCAGACAGAGATCATCACTTTATACCAAACTCAGGCTTCAATAAACGCTAGTGCCATTCTACGGGACGATGGCAATTTTGTACTCCGGCAGCTGAATCCAGACGGATCTGTGAAGGGGATACTATGGCAAAGCTTTGAACATCCCACGGAAACTCTGCTCCCCGGAATGAAACTAGGAATTGCAACAACTCTAACATCGTCGATTAGTTCCGCCTCACCTGGGTCGGGCTCATATACACTCGGCATGGATCCCAATGGAACAAAACAACTCGTCATGTGGCGACGAGAGGTTTTATACTGGAGAAGCGGAAGTTGGAGAGAGAGCAGCGCTGACTTTCAAAACTTTACCCGGCATGATCATGGCTACAACTTTAGTTTCACCCAGAATGAGAATGAAACCTATTTTAGTTACACTGAAAACCAGCTATATATCTTCCCAAGAATAACAATGACCTATGATGGTGATGTACTAATATCTCTAAGTTCAAATGTCTTTCTCAGCCTTAGTTGTTATTACCCCGGTGGTGTTGACAAGAAAGGCTGTGTAAAGCCAAATCTTCCTGAGTGCAGGGGTACTATTCGTCTTTATGATGATTATGGATACATCACCCAGAGGCATGGCATGATGTCCACCGACGGATTCAGATTCAATGAGAGTGATAACCTGACTCTCGATGATTGCAGGGCCAAATGCTTGTTCAATTGTTCTTGTTTTGCCTATGCTACCGCAAATATTGAGAACGATACGGGCTGTGAAATTTGGTCATCAAGTGGAATTTTTAGAGAAACAAAGGATGATGCCCCTGGCCAGACCATATACATCCTTCGTTCCAACAAAAGTAAGTACACTTCATTTTCAAAATTCCTTGCCTAACCCATTAACAATTATGAGTTGCTTTAAGATGTTTAGGTAGTAAAAATGCTTGTCAAATGTAGCAGGGAACAAATGGTGGCTATGGCTAATCATTGCCGTTGGAGGAATACTGGTCCTACCCAGTTTATTCTCATACTGTTATGTGATTTGGAAAAAATGCATATCAGAAGGTTAGTTAATTTCTTGTTATAGCAACTTGCTTAATTATGTATTTTTGTTCAACATTTTCAAACTCTGAATCTTTCAATTTATTTAGGAGATGAAAACATTGACCAGAGGATGCTAATAAAAGAACTAGAAGGCAGTGAGCTTCCTTCCCTCCCATTTGAAAAACCAAAGCGCTATAAGAAAGAAAGAAAAGATTTGCATGCATTCAGCTTTGAAAGCATTGCATCTGCCACAAACTATTTTTCAACTGCAAATAAGCTAGGGCAGGGCGGCTTTGGACCAGTTTATAAGGTAATACATATCATGATCATGAATCAAATATGCAGTTCCATTAGGGATTACTGACATAAGATAATTTTAGGGAATATTACATGATGGGCGAGAAGTAGCAGTAAAGAGACTATCCACTAGTTCAGGACAAGGGGTTACAGAGTTCAAGAATGAAGCAATATTAATTGCAAGGCTCCAGCACACTAATCTTGTGAGGCTTTTAGGCTTTTGCATTCAAGGAGATGAAAAGATTTTAATCTATGAGTATATGCCAAACAAAAGTTTGGATTCCATTTTGTTTGGTAAATTTTGTCTCTTTTGAGAAGTCTATTTCCTTTGATTTGTTACTTACCAGTTGATGAAATTAATACAAATTTAAACCTTGATGCAGATGTTGTTAAAAGGAAAATATTGAATTGGAAGAGACGCTTTGTCATCATTGAAGGGATTGCTCAAGGGCTACTTTATCTTCATAAGTATTCAAGATTGAGAGTGATTCATAGAGACTTGAAGGCCAGCAACATTTTACTTGATAATGAGATGAATCCAAAAATATCTGATTTTGGGATGGCCAGAATTTTTGGAGAGAATGAATCAGAAGAAAATACAACTAGAGTTGTTGGAACATAGTAAGTACTCATGCTATCTTTGCACCCAAGCACACAGTATTTTCATCTTTTGTATTTGTTCTTTTGGTGTTTTCCCTTTCCAAATGTTGAAAACTGTATCTATTTTAATCATTTTTGCAGTGGTTATATTTCTCCTGAATATGCCTTTCATGGCCTTCTTTCAATCAAAACTGATGTATTCAGCTTTGGAGTTCTGCTGTTGGAGATTGTAAGTGGTAGAAAGATCAATAGTCATTATCATACTGAGGATCATTTGAATCTTACAGGATTTGTAAGTTGTTTTCTTTTCAGTACCTCCTCTTCTCTTTATTTCTTCATTTTGAATATAATGAATAAAATTATTATATCTTAAAGTTTGTATAAGTAAGACATTCTTGGTTTCCATTAGGCGTGGCAACTTTGGACTGAGGATAGAGGTTTGGAGTTAATTGATCCCACTTTGGATGAATTTTGCCCTCATGATCAAATTTTAAGGTGCGTTCATATTAGCCTCCTGTGCGTGCAAGACCATGCCGTGGATAGACCAACCATGTCTGATGTTGTTTCAATGCTTTCAAATGAGACTGTACCTCTGCCAAAACCAAATCAACCAGGCTTTTTCATCACCACTGCAAATGTGAAAGAAGCAGGTGTTCCTAAAATCAACTCTGATCGTTGTTCCATAAATCAGGTATCAATTTCAGTGATGGAAGCTAGATAATTGTTCCATTCAGGTTCTGATATGATATTGGTCTATTTGATAGTACCGTGTGAGGGGAATTTTATTTTCCATGTTCTATCCAACTATTATTGGTGATAAAACTGTAGACTGAATAAATTGTGAAACTACTCTTAGTTGTGTCAAGAAGAATATGCAAAGAAATGCATTAGTTTTGCAATTCTACTGTGGATATTCTTTTGCTTCAGTCTGTTCTATGCTTGGCTAATGGAACCAAATAGTTGTATCGAATATTACTGAAAAACTTTGCAATCAAGTTTCAAGGAAGCTTTTAATCTGTTCTTACTTCTTAGTTCTTCAATTACTTACTAACCATGTTAAAAAATTACCTTTCTCATATTATTTGTCATTGAACAACAGAAAGAAATAACACAATTTCATGCATTAAAAAGGGACTGCAATGCTTGCCCTCATATATATGATTGAGCTTTAATTTAGCGAAATTGGAGTGAACCCAAGATGGGAGGAATAAGATGGCAATTGAGTTGTATATGGTCCAAATGAAAATGGAAACGTTTATTTTGAATTTTTTTTTCCGCCTTTTGGGTAAACAGGAAAAACTTGGGGGATGGACAAATGGAATTGCCAAGCGCAAACACTAACTTGGTGCCACCATTTAATTTCTCAAAGGAGTGTGGCCATTGGGCCACAATGTGATTTTATTTTGACCCTTTTTAGTCTCTAAAATATGTAGGGTATTATAAAACAGAGAGTTAAATTAAATTGGAGTATAAATAAAAAAGATATGGAGAAACAATTCAAGAAATGTAGTATTTCTATTCCTTTCTTTACGACATAATTTGCAAGAATACTGGTCCTATATATAGGCTAAGTGGATGGTGGGAGTTGATGTGATGAGTTACAAAGATTTTTCAACTACTAAGCCAGAAAGTGAGAAGTTAAATAGTAGCAATTTGTCACCATTATTATTGTGTGGAAGAAGGGAGAGGTGAGAAAAAGGGTGGAAGGTGAGAAAAGTGAATTATCCACCATAAATGGTTTCATAACTCTTTCATTTATATTCATTAACTGTCTCGTTAAACACCTTATTAAGAAAAACCTTATGGGAAAAAAACCACGTTGAAGGGAAAAAGAGTATAAAGAGTATCATAATTCCCCTGGTGAAGGGAAAAACAGTGCAGTGTTTATAATACTTCTCATCAATTCAATGAATATTTCTTATCAAGTGATGGATTTCAATCTTGTATCTCAGCTGCTTAAAAGTTCTAACAACTAATAATTTTGTGAAGAGAATCTGTAGGATTCTTAGTTGAATAGATTTGATGGACAATTATTTTTAATTTTTTTTATAGGAGTTTGTACGTAGAAAATTACTTTGGTGAGATGTATATAAATACTATATTTTGTAATAATCTATTTGGAGGTTACGATAAATATTCAAAATCCATATATATAATTTACTTAGATTTTGAGTGCTTCAAATATATTAATCATATAACATTTGTCCCTTGAAGGTAAGAAAATATGTATTTAATTTCATTCTAGTGACTTCAAGCCAAAGTATAAGAAAATCTTGGCTATCAATTTTTAGAATATGCTATATCTTAGTATATATATTATTAGTAAGATATATTAATACATTCTATTGCAGTAAGATATATACTTTTGGACCAAAAATCATTCTTTTAAGGATAACAAATGTTCTCCTTTATTTTAAGGGATTGAACCACCATTGGTAAGCTCAAAACATGAGTTTTATTCATATTGGAGCATTTCAAAATTTCTTATTAGTAGTTTGATGATAATAAAAAATCAAATTCGATAAATGCTTGATTTATTGAATGAGTCATATTCTTTTGCCGGTGAAACTAATTATTGATCATATTCATATATAAAATACATGATTTAGGATTGTATACATTGAATGGGGAAAAGCAATTAGCTATTAGTAAATATATATTAATCTTTCAAAATGTGATAAAGGGTTGGCGCGATCTAGAATAGTGGTAGCTAGGCGGGCGAAATTGCCTCCTTACGAAATGAAAGCATGGGTGCTTTCTACAAGGCTTCATACATATAGAACCTTCTCGTTTTCTAATTTTATAATCTTGGGTTAATGTGTAAATATCAAATAATCAACATTAATGCATTGGTAAGGAAATTTTTGTCTTTTATTTTTTGTAATTATCTTGAGTTGGATGGAAGACAAACTCGATCTAGCTCTCTCATTCTTACAGTCATCCCATTAATTTGCCCATATTAGGATTTAAATTATAATCTCTTACTTACTAGAAGAAAAACCATTTAAGAGAGAAATTTTTATCTAAAAAAATCAAACTCTAATTAATAAGTGAAAGGGAAAGCAATGTTTTCTAACTAAGTCATTAAATAGAGGTGGTTTAATCTAATTGTCCTACTTTTCATTTTTAAAAAATTAAATATTAGTAATATTTCAGTTTTGTAGTTTTATATGGGAAGAGATTTTTTTTTTGTACAATAATACAACTAGAATAATTTTCAATATCAAAAATAGAATAGTGTTAGTTAGTCATGACTTAAAAATATTTTTCAATGAATAACTCTCAAATTATATAATTTTAATAAATTTCTTTTATTTCTATTTCAAAATTACATAGTTTTAATAAACACCCATCAACCCTCATCTTAAAACTTAGAGGAAATCAAATGATTTTTAATGAAACAACATATATAGTTTTGACATTGGGATAGCTTCCTTTTCCCTTTATTTACTTGCAACTAATAGAAATTACTAATGAGGTATCAAATAAACTAGTTAAAAATTTAGATACTCCCAAAAAGGAAGAAAAAAAAAAAAAACTAGTTAAGAATCTAGATGCCGAGGCTCTAAGGGTTATAAGTTCAAGCTCTCATATATGCAATTTCCTAATTTATATTGCCTTGTAAATCTAATTGTTTCATGTTATGTAATTATTAGCTACAAATATTGTATGTATGATGTAATTGTTATGATACAAGATTATATTTATAATATTATGTAAAATTATAAATTTATAATCAAAATATAATATCAAATAAATATAACATCTTTATGCGATGCTGCAAAAATATTCGAGAATATACAACTTAGATCCTTTGAATGGATAAATGCAACTAAGGAGGGGTGGCACGCAAGCCTCACAAATTGGTTATTGGACCCAAAGGAGTGTGTGAAACAAAGGGGCAAATCT